GGGTCAGGGGAGGAGTGGACAGTGACTCACGATTCTGTTGTATCGTGCTCATATGGATGGTTTCTTGGTTCCAATGTGCTATCTGCTCTTTGCATGACTACTTGGACGCCAGCGTGATTTGCAATTTGGATTTATGTACTTCGTTCACATTCATTTTCCTTGCAAATCAATCAACCGAAAAGAAAAAAAAAAAACATAGGGAAAAAAAAAACATCCAATCAAACAAATCGATCCGATCGGATCTTGATTTCGAAGATCCAATCAAATTGATTTGTTCGATTGGATACTTTTTTTTTTCGTCTTCTTTTGGATTGATTGATTGATCAATCAATCGACCAGAAGAAAAAAAAAGGGAGAACGAGGAGGAGGGGGAGGAGGAGGAGGATGGCGACGAGGAGGAGGAGGAGGAGGATAGCGAGGAGGAGGAAGACTAGGAGGAGGAGGAGGATGGCGAGGAGGAAGAGGAGGAGGATGGGGAGGAGGAGGAGGAGGAGGATGGCGAGGAGGAGGATGAGGAGGAGGATTGTGAGGAGGAGAGAGGAGGAGAAGGAGGAAGAGAACAAGGATGACGAGGGGGAGGAGGAAGAAGACGAGGCGGAGGAGGACGAAAGGGAGGAGGAGGAGGCGGTGAAAAAGGGGATCAGTGGAGGAGGGGGGTCAGGGGAGGAGTGAAAAGTGACTCACGATTCTGCTGTATCGTTCTCATATGGATGGTTTCTTGGTTCCAATGTGTCATCTGCTCTTTGCTTGACTACTTCGACTCCAGCGTGATTTGTAATTTCGATTTCCGCACTTCGTTCACATTCACGTTCCTTGCAAATCAATCAAGCGAAAAAAAAAAAAAAAAAAAAAAAAAAAATCCAATTAAACAAATCGATCCGATCGGATCTTGATTCCGAAGATCCAATCGAATCGATTTGTTCGGTTGGATACTTTTTTTTTTCCGTCTTCTTTTGATTGATTAATTGATCGATTAATCGAAAAAAAAAAAAAAAATGGAGGAGGAGGAGGAGGAGGAGGATGGCGAGGAGGAAGACGAGGAGGAGGACGAGGAGGAGAAGGAGGAGGAGGAGGAGCAGGAGAGGAGGCGGCGGCGAAAGGGGGGTTAGAGGAGGAGGGGGGTCAGGGGAGGAGTGGACAGTGACTCACGATTCTGATGTATCGTTCTCATATGGATGGTTCCAATGTGCTATCCGCTCTTTGCTTGACTACTTGGACTTTCGGATTTTTGTACTTCGTTCATATTCATGTTCCTTGCAAATCAATCAATCGAAAAAAAAAAAAAAAAAAAAAAGTATCCAATCGAACAAATCGATTCAATGGGATCTCGATTCACAAGATCCAATCGAGGCGATTTTTTCGATTTTGAGACCTTTTTTCGATTTGTTCGATGGTCAGGGAAGGAGTGGACATTGACTCACGATTCTGCTGTATCGTCCTCATATGGATGGTTTCTCGGTTCCATTGTGCTATCTGCTCTTTGTTTCACTACTTGGACTTCAGCGTGATTTGCAATTTGGATTTCTGCACGCCGCTCACATTCATGTTCCTTGCAGAAAATGGTTGCTGTCGCGGGAAGGTTTTGCTTATCGCCTCGACGCATCGGCGATGGTAAATCCGACGGGGAGCAAGCGATTTCCCCTAACTCACCGGCCACTGCGGCCAGCCTTTTTTATTTTTTTTCTCTTCGGTGTTTTTTTTTGTGTGCCCGACCGCTGGTTCGATCCTACCCTTCCCCGATCTTGTCGCCCCGTCCACACCATCGGGCGCCGCGATGACAGTCGATGGTCGCCCCGTCCCCACCATCGAGCACCGCGGCGACAGCCGATGGTCGCCCCGTCCACATCGTCGACCGGACCATCGAGTGCCAACGCGACACCGGTTGGTCGGGCGTCGCCTCGCCGCACAAGGGTCGGGGCCAATGTGGATGGTTTCTTGGCTCCAATGTCCTAGCTGCTCTTTGCTTGACCGCTTGGACTTCAGCGTCATTTGCAATTTGGATTTCGGCACTTCGTTCACATACGGATGGTTTCTTGGTTCCAATGTGTTATCTGCTCTTTGCTTAACTACTACTTGGACTTCAGCGTGTTTTGCAATAGGAACCAATGCGCTATCTGCTCGTTGTTCGACGACTTGGTTCAAATGTGCTATCGTTCTCACATGGACGGTTGCTTGCTTGGCACCATCAGGTGTTGCGGCGACAGCTGATGGTCGCCCCTTCCACACCATCGGGCGCCTCAGCGGCAGCCCATGGTCGGCCCATCCACACCGTCGATCGGACCATCGAGCGTCCACGTGAAACTCGATGTTCAGGCGTCGCCTCGCCACACGAGGGTCGGGGCCAACGTGGATGGTTTCTTGGGTCCAATGTGCTATCTGCTCCTTGCTTGACCGCTTGGACTTCAACGTGATTTGCAATTTGGATTCCTGCACTTCGTTCACGTATGGATGGTTCCTTGGTTCCAATGTGCTATCTGCTCTTTGCTTCACTACTTGGACCTCAACTTGATTTGCAATTGGAACCAATGTGCTATCTGCTCTTTGCTTGACTACTTGGTTCCAATGTGCAATCGTTCTCACATGGACGGTTTCTTGCTTGACACCATCGGACGCCTCGACGACAACCGATGCTCGCCCCATCCGCACCATCGGGCGCCGCGGCGACAGCTGATGGTCGGCCCGTCCACACCATCGGGCGCTGCGGCGACAGCCGATGGTCATCCCGTCCACACCGCCGACCGGACCATCGAGCGCCGACGCGACACCCGTTGGTCGGGCGTTGCCTCGCCGCACGAGGGCGGGGCCAACGTGGATGTTTTCTTGGTTTCAATGTGCTATCTGCTCTTTGCTTTAGTACTTGGACTTCAGAGTGATTTGCAAACCGAACCAATGTGCTATATGCTCTTTGCTTGATGGCTTGGTTCCAATGTGCTATCGTTCTCATACGGATGGTTTCTTGTTTGACACCTGCGAGTGCCGACGCGACACCCGATGGTCGGGCGTCGCCTTGCCGCACGAGGGTCGGGCCCAACGTGGATGGTTTGTTGGTTCCAATGTGCTATCTGTTCTTTGCTTGACTACTTCGACTTCAACGTGATTTGCAATAGGAACCAATGTGCTATCTGCTCTTTGTTCGACGACTTGGTTTCAATTTGCTATCGTTCTCATATAGACAGTTTCTTGCTTGGTGCCATCCGACGTCGTGGCGACAGCCGATGGTCGCCCCGTCCACACCATCAGGCGCCGCGGCGACAGCCGATGGTCGGCCCGTCCACACCGTCGAGTCGTCGACCAGACCATCGAGCGCCGACGCGACACTTGATCGTCGGGCATCGCCTCGCCGCACAAGGGTCGAGGCCAACGTGGATGGTTTCCTGGTTCCAATGTGCTATCTTCTCTTTGCTTGACCTCTTGGACTTCAGCGTGATTTGCGATTTGGGTTTTTGCACTTCGTTCACGTATGGATGGTTTCTTGGTTCCAATGTGCTATCTGCTCTTTGCTTCACTACTTGGACTTCAACGTGATTTGCAATCGAAACCAATGTGCTATCTGCTCTTTGCTTGACTACTTGGTTCCAATGTGCTATCATTCTCATACGGATGGTTTCTTGCTTGACACCATCGGGCGCTGCGGCGACAGCCGATGGTCGGTCCGTCCACACCGTCGACCGGACCTTCGACCGCCGACGCAACATACGTTGGTTGGGCATCGCCTCGCCGCACGAGGGTCGGGGCCAACGTGGATGGTTTCTTGGTTCCAATGTGTTGTCTGCTCTTTGCTTCACTACTTGGACTTCAGTGTGATTTGCAATTTGGGTTTCTGCACTCCGTTGACGAATAGATGGTTTCTTGGTTCCAATGTGTTATCTGCTCTTTGCTTAACTTGGACTTCAGCGTGATTTGCAATCGGAACCAATGACATTGTGCTATCTGCTATTTGCTTGACTACTTGGTTCCAATGTGCTATCGTTCTCATACGTATGGTTTCTTGCTTGACACCATCGGGCGCCGTGGCGACAACCGATGGTCGCCTCGTCCATACCGTCCGAGTCGACCGGACCTTCGAGCGCCGAAGCGACACCCATTGGTCGGGCGTCGCCTCGCCGCACGAGGGTCGGGGCCAACGTGGATGGTTTCTTGGTTCGAATGTGTTGTCCGCTCGTGGCTTCACTACTTGGACTTCAGCGTGATTTGCAATCGGAACCAATGTGCTATCTGCTCTTTGCTTGACTACTTGGTTCCAATGTGCTATCGTTCTCATTCGGATGGTTTCTTGTTTGACACCATCGAGCGCCGACGCGACACCCGATGGTCGGGCGTCGCCTCGCTGCACGAGGGTCAGGCCCAACGTTGATGGTTTCTTGGTTCCAATGTGTTATCTGCTCTTTGCTTGACTGCTTGGACTTCAACGTGATTTGCAATTGGAACCAATGTGCTATCTTCTCTTTGTTGGACTACTTGGTTCCAATGTGCTGTCGTTCTCATACGGATGGTTTCTTGCTTGACACCATCGGGCGCCGCGGCGACATCCCATGGTCGGCCCACCCACACCGTCGGGCGCCGCTGTGACAGCCGATGGTCGGCCCATCCACACCGTCGACTGGACCATCGACAACCGATGGTTTCTTGCTCGACACCATCGGGCGCCGCGGCGTCAACCGTTGGTCGGGCGTCGCCTCGCCACACGAGGGTCGGGCCAAACGTGGATGGTTTCTCTCCCCGGTGCAGTGGTCATGGAAAATGGCATGGTAGAGAGGACGGTCTCTTCTAACCCGTCCACGATGTTTTTGTTGAAAATTATGTCTGTCTCTTCTCGTTGGCTGCTAACCGCGCGGTGGATCCGTGCTCCTCTCGCATGGCCACGACGCATCAACAGGACAATGGATGGGGATGTACCGGCCACTCCCGACCTGCCTCCTCCTCTCCGGGGAGGTGGGGGTCGTCAGAGGGGAGAACGTCGGGCGTCACCGCGACACCGGATGCTCGGGCAACCCGAACATCGGCGTCGCTGCGACATCTCTTGGGCGGGCAGTCGACCGTCGGGCGTCGCGTCGACACCCGATGGTCGAATGACCAATGGCCTCGGGCATCGCTTGCCTTTGCCTCGCTTGTGCTAATCACATATTATTTTCTCATGTGCGTGTAGATGGGGTTCCTTCTTCGTCGCAGACGTCCACCCCCAAGGTGGTTGGCAGAGCGGCATTATTTCGTGGGATGGAATGGGTGATTGACTGGTTCGGCGAGGTTAAGCAGCAAGGGTGCGGTCCCGTGATATTCCTCAAGGATGATGGTGGACATTTTTACGTGTGCGGCGGGATCCACAGTTGCGGCGTGGACAAATTTGTTGGTGAGGAGGGGTACTACGATTTCCACGACCACATGCTTCGACAGTGGAGGAGTCGAACTGCCTGGGAATTACAAGAAAGTGTTACTGCATTTGTCCAGATTTGCTGGCTACGGCATGAACGCTGTGGCATTGCCCCCGTTTGATAGGTCGAAGAAACTGAAGGTTGTCGAGATGGTGGGACCGATCAAGTTCCTCAGGAAAACGCCATGCTATAGAGTGACGGGCTATAAGGTAAAGGTGGACAACAACGTGTGGTTGTCGACACCGTTCGTGGCCGCGCACACTTCGAGGGAGGTGTTGGAGGACATTTTGAGGACACACAAACACGGGGAGTCTAAGCAAGGTACGCTGCGATCCGCTCTCAGGGTTGGAGCGAAAAGTGGAACGCATTCGACAAGGGCGAAGAACACCGCACCAACCGAAAAGGCATTCGTCCTGACGACCGAAATGCCTTCTGCTCAGGATGGGTTTTCCAAACCGGGGAGCACGAAGGAGAAAACTTCGAAGACCGCCAAGGCGTCGTCAGTCTCTGCTCGTGGGATGTAGCGTCGGAAAAAGGCTTCATCGCGTGACAAGGACGAAGAGAATGCTGAATGTGACACCCGTGGGGTGCCGTCCTCCAGCCATTGTCCCGATGGGGATGACGGGGATGACGAAGGTGAGGGGAAGTCGAGTGAAGAGGGCACCGAGGAAGGAAGTACGCATGTCGACGCCAGGGAGGACGTCGGTGATGAGCGGGAGAGCGGTGAGGACGATGGGGACGACAGTGCAAGCGAGGACGAGGGGGGTGAGGACGAAGGGGAGAACGGCGAGGAGGAAGAGAACGCGGGAGATGCAGAAGAAACAACTGCACACGGACGCAAGAACAAAGGCAGAGACGAGGAAAGCGAAGAGGATGAAATCGGTGGGGAAACAAACCGGGACGTCGAAGTCAGCGACACACAAGCATCAGCGAACTCGCACAAACGAAAAATGAATAGTGAGTGACGTCGGGCGGAGATACTTGGTTTGGGCGTGTCTCATACTGCATACGTGCAGCATTTAGAAAGAGAATTGGAAAAACCCGAGAAAGAGAGGCATGAGCAGCCCGCGAAAAATGCGAGGAAGAAAGTCAGATTCGAAGGAACGAAAGAGGTTGCTGACTTTGGCGACGAGGGAGTTGGGGTTGACCCGAGAGACCACACTGCGAGAGCCGGAAAGCTGGAGTCGCACGTTTTCGACACAACAACTTGTTTCTTCCTGGAGTATGACGGTGACGGAAATGCAGTGCAACGACCTCAAGAGATCTACGTGGACTGCATGAAGATTTTGCCAAACCCTGTGGGAGACCATGTGCAATACAATCACAGACCTCAAGAGATCTACGTGGACTGCATGAAGATTTTGCCAAACCCTGTGGGAGACCCTGTGCAGTACAATCACAGACCGCTGAATGGCATGCTTGTCGTTTCCATCATGAGAGCAATTATACTGGCAGATAAGAAAGAAGAGTGAGACAGGGCCACAGGGATATTGGGCCCAGTGACGGAAGTGCATGTTCATGGTCAAAAGCAGTGGGTGCGTGTGAAACCTGAACATTTTAATGCGGATGACACACACACGTACCGTTGGTACGCGGTGGGTGGACAACACACGGCAGAGGCTTGTCGGAGACTGGTTGCGGTCAATTCACCGGCTGCGCAAAAGTGGGGTGTGCATTCATGGCGTGCACGGGTTGTGTATTTCGATGATAACCATCTCGACGAATATGCTCACATTTCGACTTTCGATAACACAAGGGAGACACGAGCTATCCCGGATTCCTTCCATTTGTCGGTGAAAAATATCAGAAACTTGTGGGTTGACATGGGGATGCCTTCTGGCGATTGGCAACACGCACCGCCGAAAGCGGATAAGGAGGCCTTGAGAGATAACTATCAGAAATTCACCCGCAAAGCTGTCCGGCTGACTGCTGACTCCGAACTGCGAGGGCAAACACTGAAGTCGGCCTACAACACAAATTGGTCAAATTTAGTGAGATCGCATCTTACGTTGGCAACAGTTGGTAAAAGAGTGGGACCATCTAACCCGATTCTTTGACTCGTGGGAGGCGGGACTCTTGCCTGATAAAACTGGCGTGGCCCCGGTGGATCAGCAACGGAAACAAGTTGCCATAGCTAGTCCGGGTCCGTGCGCGTTGACAATAAAAGGCAAGAAGGAGCTAGTGCAATACGTCCAGTCCAAGAAATCGCCTGACGGGCACTACGTCTGCATTCGAGACCCTCCGCAAAGCGCGTGGAAGGTGTTCAGAGACTTAACTGCAAGGGAGAAGGAAATGGTGTTAGTCATGATATTGGACTGCCAGGTGGTTGTCACAACGGGCCAGACGTTCAACAACAACTTGTTGAACATGGACAACATTCGGGTTGAAGTTCGTCGTGAGAGATACATGATACGCCTCTTCAACTATGTGATTTTCAAAACGGAAAGTCGCAAGGAGAACGAGTGGAACAATGAGTTTTTCATTGGCTACTCGTATATAATGGACATATTTGCCCCGACGGGACTCACCAAGGAACAATGGGAGGAAAATAAGACGAAGGTGCCAGCTCACAAGGCGAAAGATGTGTCAAGACGTCTTGGGGGCATTGACGAACCAAAGGTGGGCAAGGTGGGAGGGTTCAAGTTGACGCGGACACTATATGCGGAGTGTCCGTATTACCTGAAAGTGTTCATGCATGAAATCATCGGGGCTATCGACCATCTACGGGACGAGTTGCGGCGCATAAGTGCAAATGCGCGACACGTGATGTGGGATACAAACAATGATCATACTACATTTCTTCCGATATGCTTGGCACCGTACGAGGCGCTGCAACCATCAGAGGAGATCACACGAGTTGTTAAGAAGCTCAATTGCCGCCTCGCAGTCCTGGACCTGTGCCCGCGCAAGTCGACAGCCTCGCACGAGTGGTCAGATGAGAGATTCGTCGTGCTACCAGAGATGATGAAGACCTTCTGTGACACGGATTGCGTCATTGTCATATTCTCGATGTTAAGAGTCGAGCAAACCGTATTGAAGAACGTGCTTCGTTGGGATCACGTCAAAATGATTCCAGGTCGCTGGGAGAGATATTTCGAAAAGGACCAATATGTCGTTTCCGCTGGAAATCTTCCACTGCGACCTCAGGACTGCATGACCATTGTCATGCATGCATCCGACAATGACTACAAGAAGGTGACTGTGCAGCCACGAAACCATGTCACGTGGTTCGACGATAACGTGAAGTGAGATTTATTTGTGCAATGTACGAACGAGCATGTTGGGATATTATGCGACACAAAAGTCGTGTACGGACACTGGGAGAGAGTGAAGGAATTGTGCAAATGGTTCGCAAAGGATGGCGAAGGTGTGTTGCTGCTCAGGAATGTGCAGACAGGGTCAGTCTGGGAAGTGTTGCAGTCATGACACAATGTTGTTGCGTGTGACAGCAATTCAACAATGCTCGATTGGACGTCCACATTTCTCGATATACAAGTTCACAGGCCAGAAAGTCGTTGTCACTTCAAATGGCCCAAAACTCCATGGCTTCCAGAGAGAGACATGTACCTCAAGCTTGGCAAGAAGAGGAACTCTCTGTGGAAATACTTGTTCGGCAACGCCCCGAAGACTCCGAAGGACATCGGTTATATGCACCGAAAAGTGATTGTCATCCAACATCTCCAAGGCTACCATGAGGCGAAAAATGGTGCGATTGAAATATTCATAGCGCGGTGTGAGCGTTTGTGGTTCAACAAACAAGAAGACAGACTGCGTGCAAAGATATACGCCGATGAGCTGGATGCGGGTAAGCACTTCGATGTGCTCGACAGCGAGGAGGAGACATCAGACGACAATATGAATTTGCCTGTACCGGGTGCTCAAGAAGATGTTCAACAGGCATTGGACGGTGGTGAGGGTCGTCAGGCAATGGGGGGAATACAAACAGATGTCATGGCAAGCCGGGAGAGTATTTGTGGTAGGGAGCAGAGGTCGTGTGAACAAGGAATGCAAGAGAGTGCAGGGAATGAGATCCGGGGGCCAGTTAGTGCAGGCAGCAAGAACAACAACAATGAAGGGTTGCAGCCAGGACCGGCCTCGTTAAGTGGAAAAGAGTCACATCTCCAATCCAAAGACAAGGAAAGCAGTGCCAGATACCCCGGGATATTGACTCAGCTGGACAACGTGTATGTGAGCATGGACCAGTCAAAGATCCTAAGAGAGAACTAATATAACGTGCCCCTGGAGGAAAATGCATAGGTTGGCAGAATGGACGTCAATGCCATCAAATTCGCACTCCCACTCGAGGAGGATGACAAACTGATGCCAGGAGACACAATTCGAGAGGACATGAAGGAGTTCACCGGAGGTCCGCACTTCTTGCAGCCCATTAAGACAGTGGTCGAGACAGAAGACCACCAATGGGGGCATCATATATTGTGGCACCCGAAGGTCTTCGAGCCCTGCGTATGAAACGGGAAATGGCACATGGCTGTGTGCATCGATGGCCAGTGGCAATTGCGAAAGCGGGTATTGAAGAGCAAGTTTTTTGAAATCGCAAAGGAACAGGTTCATATCAAAGTGCGGCAGGTGAATGGTGGATCAAACAACCTTGCACAAGGAGCATATGCCGACACACTTTATGACAAGTTGCGAGATCAGAACATGCTGGAGTACAACGCAAACTTTTATGACATTGAATCCAGTGTGTCGCATGGTCAGATCCGTTGGAAATAGCCAAGTCGAGAAGTGGTGCAAGAGTTTGAAGGTGAGCTACGTCTTGGCAACAGTCAGCAATTGGGACATGACGGTGGCCACGCTTCGACGAGTACAGCGGGACGTCCATTCATGATTTTCGTTCATAGTGACGAGCAAGTTGATGAGAGGAATGGTATGGAAAAATTTGTGGGCGACAACGACGAGTCAAGAAGAGATAGAGTGCAGGCTGAACATCAATCGTTCCATCCCCCGTCGCAATGGGAGGATTCTGCGGAGGACAAAGAGTCAGCGGATCGCTTTGCAACAATGGAATCTCCCAAGGTTTGCACGGGGTCGGAACCGCAAATGGCCACGAAACCAATGTCCATGCAAGGAACTGAGTTGACGAGAGAAGAGTCGGTGCCACAGTTGAAGGGAATATAAAATTTGTCAGAGAACATACCTCATTTGATGCTTCGACTACTTTCTGAAGGCGGCGTACTCGAGGGTGGGTCAGGTGGTGTGCAAAGGAAAGAGAACGTTGTGGCCTCAATGGGAAGAAATGATGACGAACTTCAATGAACCACGACGATTGGCGACAAGCATCAACAGCCGAAGCGCAAGAGAGAGGATGACGATGATGTCATTGACATCGGGACACAGTCAGGTGAGCAATCAGGGGGTGGTGAGGACGGGGAGGGCCGACAAAATGAGAAAGAACATTGTCAAGAGGAACACCACCATGTGACATTGCAAAAGGAGGATGTAATCTGCAATGAGAAGTCAAAGAAAGGGAACACAACAGACAATGTTGTGCTCCGACGTTCGGGGAGACCTACGGCAAAAAAGACACGGCATGACGACTAGTTGTGTGCATAGAAGTGCTTGTACGTGTGTGAGAAGATGCGTTTGTGAGTAATTATGTGTGTGTGTGTGTGTGTGTGTTTGTGTGTGTGTGTGTGTGTGTGTGTGTGTGTGAGTGTGTGTGTGTGTGTGTGTGTGTGTGTGTGTGTGTGTGTGAATTTTTCTGCATGGGCGCGCGTGGGTAGGCTAATGTTCGGGTTTCGGAGGGGTTGTGTTGTCGTCTGATTTTTTATTTTTGTTTTTCTCGCACTGCGAGGGCTCTAATTTAGTAATTGACAAAATGTATAGAATTCAGACACATAGAATTGTCTGCCATAAGGCATAATGGCGGGACATTAGTAGTAGGTGCGCATTATTATGAACACATCAGATCTCATGATCTCATGCTAGTACATCAGTACTCGCCCAATTTCATTTCAATTGAGGATGTAGTTCCTCAATTGAAATGAAGAGCTAGCATTTCAATTGAAGATGTAGTTCCTCAATTGAAATGAGGAGAGCGGCTCAACTGACTCCTGGTCATATTCATTGGATCTAGCATATGAAGATAGGGAGTGTACACATATGATGCTTTGCACCTTCGGCCTAGGAGGTGAGATTCTCTCTCTCTCTCTCTCTCTCTCTCTCTCTCTCTCCCTCCACAGATTATGATCAAAGCTGACAGTCGTTGTGGCTGAGAGGGCTAGTTGGTCTTATTCACCAATGGTCAGTGTGTGTCCCAAAGGTGGGTACCGGTTCCAGTCTTCCAGACTCGCAGTGTCCCACCTAACATGTAGGTCAGGTGCAGCTCCTCACCAAATAGAAAGGACTCAAAGGAGTTATCGAACATGATGCTCAATCCTGCCGGCTCTCTTCAAGTTACCAAAGATCCAATATTCAATTTTATTTTTTTTTTCCCTTTAAACCACCAGTACCTTTGTCGGTTCGAAAATGCTCGGCCTCCGACCTTTCAGGAGGCCAAAACGAAATGACGGCCGTCGATCAGATCGATCAACGCCGGGCTCGGCCTCCTGAAAGTTCGGGTACTGGCCAGGACTTGTGGAAAGCGGATGCCAAAGGTACCTTTGTTGGTTCGAAAATACTCGGCCTCCGACCTTTCAGGAGGCCGAAACGAAACGACGGCCGCCGATCAGATCTATCAACGTCGGGCTCGGCCTCCTGAAAGTTCGGGTACTGGCCAGGACTTGTCGAAACCGGACGCCAAAGGTACTAGTGGCTTAAACGGGCCCAGTGCCCAAGGCTGATATTGATATTTGAGAAAATTGAGGCCAGGTCCGCACAGTCTACCCGGAGTAACCAGACCCCCCCCTCTAGGCAGGAGTTGTCTCTTTGTCGTAGAACGAGATCTGGCTTGTGGAGATGCATAGAGGATAGACCCCTCCCCGATTACTTCTGGCGGGGTCACAGAAGTGATGTTTCATACAAAAAAAGGGGGGGGCACAAGAATGGCTTTCAATATTCGACTTGGACTTTCTAAACCCCCCATGGTTGCAAGTTTTTTTTTTTTTTTTTTTTTTTTTCGAAGCAACCGAGAGCGAGTTGCAAGGGGGGGGGTGATACAGGCAGCCTCCTGTAGTAGTTGCTCAGGGTGCTCCAATCTTATTGGTGGGGAGCTGCACCTGTGGGAAAATGGGCCCAGGGTCCCAACTTGGATTAGTTCCAGTGTCCTAATTAATAGTTGCATATGAGTACTATACTGAACCAGGATGCTAGGCCCAATTAGGTCCAGTGTCCCAATCAGTATACACGAGACCTGACTCCTGAGCAATCAGGGGAAGGTCTCACAAGCTAAGAGGGTTGGATTTATCACCTGAATCTGGATAGGTTTTATGGAGAGATGCAGAAACTTTGCCAGAAAGGCAGATCAAATGCGATATTCTGTCTCTCACCAAAAACACGTGCAAATGCAGGGGTTCAATCCAATCCTTTGTGCTAGTGGGATCTCAACCCTTAATGAGGTTGCTCTTATCACCTTGTCAAGTGGCCCCCTGGAAGTGGAATTTAAATAATAATTAAAAAAAAAACTAGGCCACCAGCCGGGCTGCCCGGGTCACCCTATTTTTCCGGGCCGCCCGGCCGTGCAAGGACTAGGGAAGTTCTCAGCCAAAAAAAATAAAAAAATAAAAAATCCAAAAATGCTAGGCTACCAGCCGGGCCGCCCGGGTCACCCTATTTTCCCGGGCGGCCCGGCCGTGCAAGGACTAGGGAAGGTCCCAGCCAAAAAAAAAATTAAAAAATCCAGAAAATCTGAAAAGAAAACTAAGTTATGCAAAAAAATAAATTGAACAACTTTTTTTTTTTCTTTTTTTTTTTTTGACTTTGTTTTTTTTTTTTAATGGGAATCATTTGTTATTGCCGAAAACCGGGTCCGGCGTCCCTTACATCTGCACTGTAGCCTTGCAGGCTGGGTGAGGCACTCCCGGCCAATCCCATCCCGGCCTCAGTCAAAATACAATCCTCAGATTCCCAAGTCAGACTACCAAACTATCATCGAAAACCAAGCAATTCCTGAACCTATCTACAAAACAATTATCCAACATTTCAAAGTCATGCTTAGCCTCCACTCCCGGCCAATCCCATCCCGACCGCAGTCAAAATACAATCGTCAGATTCCTGAGTCTGACTACCGAACTATCATCCAAAACCAACCAATTCGTAGATCTATCTACAAATCTATCTACGGAACAATCATCCAAATTCCAAGGTCATGATTAGCCTCCAATGACTAATATACAATCTATCTGACGATCGTCCCCCCATCCAGACC